ATTAAAACATCGAATGCATTTCATGCATCGATGCACAAGCAATGCACCGATACACTCAGGCTATTTTCAAACATCGAATGCATTTTATGCATCGATGCACACTTGGTGCACCGATGCACTAAGTGTTCCAACGGTCAAAATATTTGAATTTTACACTGATGCACCGATGCACTATGGTCATGCATCGATGAACCGACGCTCCCAACCAGTTTTATTAATTGTTTTTACACAATAACGACTCTATTGACTCCACTAATCATCCCCAACGTTCAGAAGTGATTCAAGGTGTATTTAAACAAGCTTAGAAGCCATTGATCAAAACAAGAAACATCAAGCAACTAGAATCAAGAGAATCAAAGAGAAAGCATCAAACCTCAAGTTTGAGCATTTCAAGCCTATTTTTCATTCAATATTCATTTTCTTTCAAGAACACTTATTGTGCTCAATTGTATTTATTCCCGAGTGTTCTTTCTTTGTTCTAGAATTGTGCAAACATATTTGCCTTGTGAGGTTTTTTCTTGTAAGTTTGCAAATTTGTAATCTTCTCTTTGAGAAAAGAGTGTTCTCAAGAATTGGGGTATATTCTTGAGGGAGTTGTAAGGTTATCTCTTTGGCCTCAAAAAGAAAGAACAAATTAGTGAATTTGTTGGAAAATCCTTAGTGTGGATAGCTAAGGTAGTGGACGTAGACTTTGATTGATAAAGTCGAACCACTGTAAATCGCTGTGCAATTACTTTTAATTTTCTGCAAAAGCTTCCACCAAAATATTTATTGCCAATTCACCCCCCTCTTGGCCGATTCCATCGATCGATTAACTCAACAGAATTGACTACAATGAAATTTTCTCTCCAGTCGTGAAGCTGTCTACAATCAGACTGGTATTGAAAATTGTAGATACAGAGAATTTACATCTTGAGCAGTTAGATGTAAATAGAACTTTCCTTCATGGTGATTTAGAGGAAGAAATCTATATGAGGTAGCCAGAAGGCTTCATAGAGGCAGTCAAGAAAAACCTGGTATGCAGGTTGAAGAAGAGCTTGTATGGTTTAAAACAAGCTCCTAGACAGTGGTACACGAAGTTCGATAGCTTCATGGGTAGCAGTGGTTTTACCAGATGCCAAGCAGATCATTGTTGCTACATCAAGAGGTTCGATAATAGCTTCATTATTTTATTATTGTAAGTTGATGACATGCTCGTTGAAGGCTCAAACATGCAAGAGATTATACACTTGAAGCAAAAATTGTCGAAACAGTTTGCTATGAAGGATCTGGGCACTGCAAAGCAGATTCTTGTGATGAGGATCAAGAGAGACACAAAGTCGGGGACTTTGATGTTATCACAGGCTGAGTACATCAACAAAGTACTCTCCAGGTTCAACATGCAAGATGCTAAACCAGTAAGTACAGCTTTAGGTGTTCATTTTAGTCTCTCCAAAGAACAGTCACCAAAGACGGAGGAAGAACGTGCACACATGGGGAAGATGCCATATGCCTCAGTAATTGGAAGTCTAATGTATGCCATGTTTGTACCAGACCAGATATTGCTCAAGCAGTGGGAGCTGTTAGCAGGTACATGAATAATTCAGGCAAGGTACACTGGGAAGCAGTTAAATGGATCCTCAGATATCTGCGGGGTACTACAAACAAAGCACTTTGTTTCAAAGGTAGAGATACGATACTGACATGCTATGTAGATGTTGACTTAGCCGGAAATATTTACATCAGAATGAGCACTACAGGGTATGTCTATACTCTAGGAGGAACTGCAGTGAGTTCGGTTTCTTAACTATAGAAGATAGTTGCTCTCTCCACAACTGAAGCAGAATATGTCGCTGTTACGGAAGCCAGCAAGGAGATGGTTTGGCTCCAAAGTTTCTTGAAAGAGTTAGGCAAGAAACAAGAAAACAATGTCTTGTATTGCGACAGTCAAAGTGCTATCCATCTAGCAAAGAATCCGTCTTTTCATTCCAGGACGAAGCACATACAATTGAGATATCATTTTATTCGATCTCTTCTGGAAGATGGGATTTTGAAACTTGAAAAGATTAGTGGAGCTCAAAATCTGGCAGACATATTGACAAAGATGGTGACTACGGACAAACTGAAGTTGTGTTCAGCTTCAGTTGGCATGCTAGAATAACAAGACCAGAAATACTGATGCATTGATCGAGGTGTGAAGACAAATTAAAATCAGTCTTCAAGTGGGAGATTGTTAAAAGTTAGTTTCAAAGTTTGGCAACCAACTTTGAAAAATGTTTTTCAAAGTTTGGTAAAGTTTGGTAGATGTTTGTTGAAAATAGGAATGGGTAAATTCACTTTAGTCATTTCACTTTAGGGTATTTTCAAAGATTAGTCCCTAAGTTTCAACTATAAATACCCTAGCTCATTTAGCTTCAAAATCATCCCAAATCCCAAATAGTTTCTTTCTCCCAATACTAGAGAGTTTCTTGTGAGTAGTGAGTGTTTTGTAAACACCTGTAAATTTTCTCTCTTAGTAAAAGATCTACAGCAGTCCGGAGACGTAAGCACAATTGGCTGAACTCCGTTATCAATTTCCGGGTATTATTTTTCCGCTTTTATTTCACATTCTTACTAATCTGGTTATAGGGTAATTACTTGTTTACTCGTTTATTTCCCAACAAAACCAACAAAGGCAAATCCCGCCAGAGAAACCCAAAGCTTCTATCCAATGGGAATTAGGAAAACCAAGCAATTTAGTAACAAATTCTGATATCAATTGTTGCGGAAGACGACTATCGGATAGAGCAAAATCGCAATTGATAATTTGAGAAAATAAAAATAAAGATAAAGAAGACACAAAATTTATGTGGAAAACCCTTAAATAATATAGGGTAAAAACCACGGGCAACGGTAGAAGAATTTCACTATGAGAAAATAAGAATTACAACCTCTCTCGATCTATCAAGGAAAAAACAATGATAATTCTCTCTTGATAAAAAAAAACAACTCTCAAGAAACTCTCTAAATTCTCTAATATTAGGAGAAAACTAGAATGATTTGGGATGATTTTGAAACTAAATGAGCTAAGGTATTTATAGTTAAAGTTTAAGGACTAATTTGTAAATACCTTAAATTATAATGAATAAATTATGATTTAACTATTTTTTTTAAATTCAACAATTGTTGCTGCCACCGAAAGTAATTGTTGAACAATTGCTGCTGCCACCGAAAGTTTCTTTAACTTTCAACAATGGTAGGCTTGACTTTTAACACGAGCCACTAACGCGAGGTTCCACGAAACCAATAATATCCCGAGAGTTCTCCCGAATAAACTACTTAGCAACTGTAATAAATTTGGAGCTACCACAGCCTCTGTCATTCCAAACAAAAATTTTAATCATTAAATAAATGGGAGTGTGAAGGTAACAATGCTTTATTATACCACCGACGTCAAGAGACTTTCATCCGAGATAGGATCAGGAGTGACAGTCGAGGCGTTCTGGAGGTCCCTAGATGTGATTGAATTAGCTGAGAGAATCACTTCCTTATTTTGTGTCGTTGTAGGGATAACATATGGAGGTTCTGGTTGGATTTTGACCTGGCTGGAAGAAGGGCTATTATTGTCCCTACGCATTATATCGGGGTAATGGTTCTCGGATAAAACCAAAGCAGTATACGATGTAGGATTCAATATGGTTCCTATGTTAACTGGAGGGGAAATATGAGAGCTTCTGGTGGAACTTTGAAGGCGACGAAGGATCGGTTTTAAGGAGAAGGTTGGTATGTGAACCGTTAAACGTTTACGAGGAGCAATGCCCTCTCTGGCCTTGGAGAAAGTTGTTACAACAGTTTTCTTTCCTTTGCTGGTGGTGGCAGTGGACTTGGTCTGAACAGATTTTGGGTTATGAGCAGTGGCCTCACTGACACAAGGAGGTAGAGGGGAAGGCAAGTCAGGTTGATCATCCTCGGAGACATCAAAGATATGATTATACTTGGAACCGTTGTCGTAATGATCATGTACTTCTTTACTATGGTCGGAGGGTTTCGCAGAGACCTTTCTTTGCTTGGTCGTTGCTATCATTCAAGGACCGAAGGATGAGTTCTTTGGGGCCGGGGTCGGACTAGCATTCTCAGGATTAGGGGTAGGTTGAGACGCACTGGTAATCATAGAGCTTATGTCCTTGACATGACCATATTTACCACACTCGAAACAAATGGCAGGTAACACATTGTATTCAATGGATTGAAGCCTACCATTGATCAGGATTTTAGAGATGAGGGGTTTACCTAGATCGATTCTAACAGCTATGCGGCCTCCACGATCATTTTCGGTTTGAAAGTCGATCTTGATCACCGGATCAATGCTCTCACCAATTTCAGTCAGGAGATTACGTTTGTATAGAGTGACGGGTAGGCCCAGGAGGCAGATTCAAGCTGTGATTTTCATGGGGTGTGATTGAGCAGAGGAAAAATCAACCGTCCAAGGCTCAACAATCAGATAGTGATCTAATATCATTCATGGTCCTTCAAATATAGCTTTAAAAAATCAGATTGTGTTCAAAAAATGATCAAGAAGTAATCATTCTCAATATTCATTACACGAGCTGGTTGGGAAGGCTTCCATAGTTTATATATTTTATTACACAACGTTGTATATCTAATCTTTATCCCCAGAAGTTTTACCACCACCGTTTGATCTAGGCTTTTTGCTGCCACTACGCAGGATGAGAAATCGATAGAAATAATGCCATCAATGACTGATCGAGCAAAATCTCACTAAAACAATTCAATTTCTTCATCATTGATAATAGCTTCATCCGAGGTTGGCTGGTTGGTGCTATCTCCCATTAGGATTTCCTTGTAAGACAGAGCGCGCAAGAGGGGGGCTTGAGGACTTCGAAGGATTTGGATCATTCTCAGTCCCCACTGAGCTAGGCGGTTCCAGGGTTAGCCAGGGCTTCAGATGGCATAACAGGTTGTGGTAAGTCAATATCACGGTTGCCGCTTGTATCCATTGCATCACAGCAAGCATCTAAAGGTTTGTCACCAACCCGATGAGGCTTCTTGATGAAACGAACGTCATCAGGCGACGGATCAGAAGGCTTACGGGGGTTGGAGGGGGTTTCGAGGAAATAGGAGCGTGCATTAGGGTTTTCACTTTTGTCTTGATAGCAAAAAACACTTTTGTAGTTGTAAAAGTATGGTCGAACAGGCATGAGGGAATTAAATGGGCCGACCCGTATAGGCTGTATAGAAGAGAGTTAAACTTTGAGCCCACTTGTTCCCAAACAGTGAATTTCGATGAGATAGCCTTCCCCAACCTCAAACAACATCTTCTTTCCTGTTCTCATCCACTAGCCCCACAAAATCCACCCCCAAAACCTCTCCAAATTCTTCATTCCTCTTTCGCAAGTTGCACCCACGAAGATAGGCTGGTAAAAATACAGGTTCTTTCGCCAATTCTCTTTATTTCATTCTCTCTCTAAAGGAGACGTTCCTATATCATATTTCGGCTGCATTTCTAAGATGGGTCAAATCCTTTTTAGCATGTTATCCACTTTTTGGGTTTAGGGTTATTGCTTTTATTGGATGCTTTTTTCGAGTTTTTTTTTCCTGATTTCTTATGCAGTTTACCGTGATGAGTACTGCTCTCCCTCGTGAATGGCTCGGCCTTCAACAGTTCCCCGTTGCTACTCAAACAAAATTGTTTGATTTGTTGGGAAAATTGAAGCAAGAGGTTTTGATGAACCCTTTAATCTATTTCATTTACTTCGACTTAACAACATGTTTACACAAGATTGTTTAATGTAAGAAAAATGCAGAATGTCAATACTTTGACTATCCTTGTTATGGGCAAAGGCGGTGTAGGAAAGTCTTCTACTATCAATTCTCTTCTCGGGGAGCAAGTTGTTCGAGTCACTGCGTTCCAGGTGAGTATTGGTTTTATCTGTTCCATTGCGTTCTTCGCTTGATTCGTTTATGCTGTTTTAATATTCTTAAGCTTTAGTCTTCATTACATTTGTGTATTTTGCAGTCTGAGGGGCTGAGACCCGTAATGGCTTCACGCACGTGGGCTGGGTTTACATTGAATGTAATTGATACTCCAGGGCTTGTAGAGGCTGGCTATGTCAACTACCAAGCTCTTCAGTTGATCAAAGGGTTAGTAGAGTAATTAAGCTGTTTAACCTAGAATCTTATATTCTTCACGATGGATATGGTTCTCAGTGAATGCTAGTCATATTTTCATTTTAGGATTATTTTTAGTTTCCCTACATGTTATTGTTCATTTTGGTTACGAACAAAATCTTTAATTGTCGTGCAGGTTTCTTTTGAATAAGTCCATAGATGTTTTGCTTTATGTTGATCGCCTAGATGCCTATAGAGTGGATGACTTGGATAAGCAGGTCATAAGGGCTATTAGCAACAGTTTTGGCAAAGAAATATGGCGCAAAAGTTTCCTTGTGCTCACTCATGCTCAGCTTTGTCCACCAGATGGACTGAATTATGATGTTTTTTCTTCTAAAAGATCCGAGAGTGTCCTAAAGGCCATTCGCATTGGAGCTCGTATTAGGAAAAAGGAGTTTGATGTATGTATTTTCTTTCAGGTTTATTTATGTTAGGCACATATTGGATCAAAAGCTTATTTGTTCCCCCAATATTCCTTGATGTCTGAGTAAAATAGTATCTGTCACTCATTTGTAATTCCGTTGTCTGAAAAGATATCTTAGCTTGTAAATTTATCTTTATTAGTTACTATTTCTTTCTATTGGTATGCTTAGAGTGCTGTGATTACATTTTTTTTAGATATTTCCTTGCTTTTAGGATTCTGTCATTCCTGTTGTTTTGGTTGAAAACAGTGGAAGATGCAATAAAAATGACAATGACGAAAAGGTTTGAACCCATTTTTTCCCTTTCATATTGTGCTCTCTATTTATCACCTTTTCATATATTTGATTGCCTTGATTCTTTGAAAATTACATGTTATTTCTATACAGATTCTTCCCAATGGCGAAGCTTGGATTCTGAACTTAGTAAAAGCCATCACAACTGTTGCAACGAACAAGTGTCAAGTTATTGTTGTTAGCAAGAAGTTGGTTGATGGGTCCGACGTTAACGATAAAGGAAAATTGTGGATCCCAGTTATTCTTGGGCTTCAGGTAAAGCTTCCACAATTTATTAGTTTCTGTTTGGGCTGAATTGGAACACAAATGATTTTTTTCTAATGCCCAAGTTTTTTTTTTTTGTTCCAGTGGGTTTTTATCAAATGGATTCAAGGAGCAATAAAAAGGGATATTGCAACTGGCAATGGGCCTAAATGAGAACAACATAAATGGGATCTGCTCGAATGCAAGTTTCATCTGGTCTTGTTTAACTTTCTATGTCATATGTGTTTTCCTTTAGTTTTGTTTTTTTTTTGGTAAATTGAATAAGAATCCTAAGAAGTTTTGTTTAACTTTCTATGCATATGCTTTAACGGGCATAGTTTGTATTTTTGGGATTCCATTGAGCTTTTGTAGGATTTAAGTGCATATATTCAGGCTAAGGTTCTTTTTGTTTCACTTCCATGTATTCCCATCTGTTTCTTTTGTTTTCTTTTCTCGAACTACTTGTATTGGTGTCTTTGTTCAGAGACAGATTTACAGTTTCCTCCAAAGTATGCCCCTCATTTATATTTGAAAGTACTTTTTACATAATCTTTTGTTCAAGGAAAGAATTAGCTCTTTCTTGTGGAGCATTTACCTTTGTTGTTTAAGCTCATAAAGGTGCAAGGAGCATCAATGGATAATAAGGATGGTCTGGCCCAGCCACCGTTGCCTGGCATGGTAGTGGTGCAGTATAACTGGCTTACCTTATTTTTGGGTGCGTGAATTGCGGGGATTTGTGCAGGTTAACTCACCACCATTACATGCTTCAATCATATTATGCATGCACTTCAATCACTGCAATACTTTATTTCATAAATCGTTTCGCTGCTTTTTCCCAACCTTTTCTCCCCTCTTTTAATCCATGTTACATTCATTTGCACTCAAAATACGGTCAAACATAGCTTGCTAATATAGGTGGCATTTACCGTCTTCTATTAAAGATTTGGAATTTTTAGGACGATGTCATGTAAGATCCTAACTATGCTCCACCAATTGCTTGTAAGAAGAAAAAAATGGTCCTACTAAATTTTGCAATTCAACTCGGAAGGACAAGTCAGATACTTTTCCTTCTTATTACATTGTCATTTGATTAATTTGATATAAAAGAATGATTTAAATCCAACTACATAGATAAAATTACATGTACCTATCATTGAAATGAATATTTGAATTTTATTCACCGAGTTTAGTTAAGGTAATTTTCAGTAATTTTTATTTGATCTATGTTAATTAACAATGCCAAAGCAAGCCTTTAATGAGGTCCTTCAATAAAGTGTAGCCCGAAAATCATGATGAGGAAGCATCGTGATTAAACGGTTGAGGCATGGGACTGGAACCAATGCATGAGCTACCCACACCAGGTGAAAATCAAGCTCATCATTTGGTCTCTCTTTAGCCGTGTCCCACAGGGCAGTGAAAGAAACCAGTTGCTACTGAAGATACTCATTTTTTTCTTCATTTTTTATTTAAATATTATTTATATTATTATTATAAATATTATTATTTATATTATTTATTATTAATATTATTACAAACAGGCCCATATTGTCTGGCCCAATTACAAATCCATATTGCCCAACTAAACCCTAAAACCATATTAGGGTTTGATCTAACCCTAGCCGCCTCATCATCTCAGCCGTTGGATCTGAGAGATCCAACGACCCACACTCATCCAGCACAAACCCTAGGGTGATGATACCCTAGGGCCACGCGGCCGTCGCAGCTACTCCCACCATCTCCACCGCTGCCACGTCTCGTCGAAAGCTTCCAGAAGAACCACGTCCCAGCCGCACACATGTCGCCCCAACGGTGAGTCGCCACTGGAAGTCCGGTGACTCACCGAACTTCACCTTTAGGACCGGTCCGAGACGAGCGCCGGTGATGGCTATAAAGCCATCACCCAACCTGCAAAGAAAAAAAACCCCAACAGAACAGAAAAAAAGAGAGGCAACCAACAGAGAAGGAGCAACCACAGCAAATCAAAGCATAGCAAACCCTCAACCAGCAACCATAAACAAAAGAAAAGAAAGAAGCTTACCGAGGAAGCCACGACCGTCGGACCCCTCCAAACATCACCAAAAACCTTAGAAAACCGAAGGTATTTTCCTAGATTTGCTCCGATCGGGAGCTATTTAAAAGAATAGAACACCGGAATCGTCATTAGGACGGTCCGATCTACGTTGTGGTATAAAAAAAAATTTTCGGCCACCGGATGCGGTGGCCGGCAGTGAGAATTATGGCGGCAGACGGTTGCCGCCTGGTGACCGGCTTCCCTCCGATGAGGGAAGCTAGAGAGAAGGGAGAGCGTTTTTCATTCTCTCTTAGTTAGAGAGAGAATGATAAAGGGAGAAATGAGAGAGTTGGCCCGAAGGGCCAGCCATTTCTGGATTTAAATAGCCCTTCCCGAACGACGTCGTTTTGGGAAGGGCTATTTGTATAATTTTTAATTGTTATACCCCATCCGTAGTCCCTCTATCTTATATGTTTTACATTTTAGTCACTGAATCAAATTTTTGATCCTTTTAATTTGGTTTCTACATTTTATTTATTTATATTTAGCCCTTAACCGTAATATTAATATTTTAGATAAAATACGTATTTAGTCCATTAATTTTAATAATTAATATTTTAATCCCAAAGTATATATTTTTAATTTATTTTAATTTGATATTCGAATTTTATATAATTTTATTTTAGTCACCAGATTAATAAATAAGGAAAATAGCATGTTTAATCCCTGTATTTTTAAAAAATTAATTACAAATTAGGTATTTAATTTTATTAGAATATAATTTAGTCACTAATTTTAAATATTTTCATTTATTATAAAGTTTTACTGCTTTTAAATATATAGTTCTAATTTTATTTTTATTATTGTTTATTTATGTTTTAATTTTACTTGTTTATATTTAAATATTATTTCTATTTATTATATTTTAATATATATTTATTTTTCAATATCAAAGAAAATGGCAGTCTTAATACAACTGGATGTCCTATTCTGGTATTTTAAAATTAAATATTATGATAAAAAATTTATAATTTAATTATAATATTTATTAATATCAAAGAAAAGAGCTATCTTAAGGCACCTAGAAGTCCTTTTCTGATATTTCTAAATAAGTAAATATCTTATTTTTGTTTAATATATTTTCTTAAAATATTTGAATTAAATAGGATTATAAATTAAATAATTTGAATTTTTAAATTTCTAATAATAGAGACAATTTATAATTAAAAAGTATCAATTTTGGGCGTTGTAGGGGTGCTAATCTTTTCCTAAACGTAACCGACCACGAATCCCTTTTTATCATTAAAAACAATGAATTTTTGGTTAAAATGCAGATCAATTTATCTTTTAACTGATGTTTTCTTAAATACTCTTTTAAAGGATGATTTTTAGGTATTCAACCTACCTGACCCAAAAGGCCGATGGCTACTCCCAAATTATTTTAAAAACCATTTATTCACATCACTTTTCACGCCAAGTAAAAAATTCGTGCCCGGACGAAAACCGGTTACGACAGCTTGGCGACTCCGCTGGGACCGAGTCAACTTTTAAAATCAATTATAAATTGTCTCTATTAATTATAAATTAAAATTCTTATATTTAATTTATAATTCTTTCTTTTCAAATTTTTTATACTTATTATTATATTATTTATATTTCATTTTATTTACAAGCATTTTATTTCATTATTTATTTTTTCTGTCAGAGGTTTGAACATTTATCCTCACACACAACACTCGCATTGCATAACATAAAGCTCTATAATTGAGTTTGTCCCTTTTAAGTGGGAGTGAAAGCGACGTCTTCGTGAGAATTTATTCTCCGTGTCAGACCTAGCAAGTAACTTTCGGGGTTTATATGCTCTATGTCTTCGTGAGAATTTATTCTCCGTGTCAGACATAGAGAAGTGTATCCCCTCGAATTGAACTCGATCCACTTTAGTCTGTGATGGACTAGGATTGAGGGTTAATAGCCCAAGGGGGCACTAACAAGGACAATTCGGGTACCTTTATTCTTAGATCTGAAACCCTGCATATAATAAACTCTAGAAACTCTTCCGATTTGAAGCCATGCTGAAATTTTGTCCAAAAAAGGTGTACACACAGGAGAAATGAATTCTAATTTTCCTTTTAATTTATTTATTTATTTTCTTACTGATTAAATTGCATGTGAGTTTAAATTATTTAAATTATGAAGAAAGCATGTTTAAATAAGGATATTTAAGTAGACATTATTATTAAATTATTATTTTTTCTTTATTATGTAAACTAATTCATTTCTTTTTGTGTGTTCTTTATTTCTTCTGTTTGCATAGCATCATACAGGATAAAAGGCATTGATCTTCGTGTTAATTGTCTCATTGGAAAGCCTTCATCCATGGATAAAAGTGTTCAAATCAAATAGTTCTAAACTCAGAAGTAAGACAGTGGGCTGAGGACTTACAAAGACAAGGAGGAGACAGTCTGCAAGATGACTATGTATCTGATTTGGCCAGTTATGCTCCAGTTTCGCTAAAAAGAAATGATATGCAAGATTTGAAGCATTTGGGAAAGTTGGGACTCAAACAAAAAGTTGCAGTTTTATCAGACTTACGGAGACATCCTATATTTTCTCTATGTTGAAGTTGATGATGACTTACTTCGAGCCCTAATTCAATTCTGGAATCCCGGGTACAATTGCTTCACTCTCAATAAAGAGGACTTGGTCCCTACTATTGAAGAGTACACAACTTTGTTACATATAGAAGGGGCTTTGGAGAATCGAATTTATTCAAAGTCAATTAAAACTCAACCCTTTCGAGTTAAATTAGCAAAGATTACCGGGGTACGAGAAGAATGGGTGGCATCCCGTACAAAACAAAAGGGCGAAAGCGAAGGCATTGCTTGGACTAACATTAAAGAACTTATTCAGTCATCCAGACACTAAAGTACGATTCGATCTATTTGCTCTGGGTATGTATGGTATGGTCATCTTCCCAAAGTATTAGGATATATTGAAGTTGCAGTAGTAGATTTGTTTGAGCAGCTACCAAAAAAGATTAATCCTGCTTCTGCAATTCTAGCAGAGACTTTCAGATCGTTAAATGCTTGTAGAAAGCTAAGAGGTGGACGATTCTCAGGGTGTACCCAATTGTTATATGTTTGGATCCGTAGCCATTTTTGGAGGACAGAAAAGGTTTCATACCGACGCTTTAATACAAATTACTCACCATTAAAAGAATTTCTGGAGCAAGAATGGCCGAAAGAAATTAAGAAAGATATGTGGAT